TATCCTCCAAGGCCTCCTCATTTCTAAGGACTTGTTGACATCGTGCCTCAATTAGTTCCTCCGTGGACATGTGCGGGTCGTCATCTAGCCTATTCCAGGTGGGTACCAATGCTTCCACCGAGAAATCAATCTCCCTCCCACACCAGAGTTCTGCCGGAATGCATCCCGTCGTCCTTTTCACGTCAAGTTCTCCGAGAAGACTGCCTGCTTAAGGTACCGGGGCCAATTCCCCAGGTCGTCTGCCACCAACTTAGCAATTGTGTTGTTCATGGTCCGGTGCCCCATTTCTGCATGTGCGTTGACCTCGGGGTGATACGACTCAATGATCTTGATAGGCACACACAACATTTTGAGCTTGCCTTGTACTTCCTGGTTTAGGAACTCCGATCCATTATCCGCTATGAACCTCCGAATAAAGGGGTGCCTTAGGTAGAAGTTTTCTATCCAGTTTGTTACTCCCTTCCCCGTCTCAAGATTCTACTAGGCACATCACGGCTTCCCGACCCCCTTCAACGACCATTGCTAGCATCTCCTCTTTCAGCCCCACTACTGCCCCCCACGAATCATTTTGATCCTTACGCCTCGCTGTGGTGGCTTACCCTTCCCTTAGTTCTGCAACCACGGCAGGCGTCCCTTTTCCCAAAGTCTGGACCAACAATTCCCCTGGCGTGCGTGCGAGACTCATCATCTCGTTGTCCACGGCGAGGGCTTGTCCCTCATATTCCACGAAGGCGTCCATTGGTTCCGCATCCTCTATTCCTTCTGGTGTGATGCAGACCCGACTTAGCCCGTCTGCCTTGTTCCGGAGCCCCGCAATTCGCCCGATCTTGTAATCGAACTGCCAGGTAAGCCTATTCATCTCCCAATGGTCGGGTCTATAGGCTTATAGTTCTTCAATGCTCCTTCGACGTTGGTCGGATCGATCCTCAGGATAAACCGCCTTCCGAATAGGCACGCTTGAAAAGTCTTAAAGCAATGTAGGACGGCTAAAAATTCTTTTTTGAATTGAAAGTACCACCGTTTTGCAGAATTCAAGGTTCTGCTTTCGAACCTAATTGGTCTTTCCCTGCCCTCCTCGCTCCTTTGTATCAGAACACCTCCTACTACCAATGGTCCTGCATCCATTTTCAGGATAAATGACCGTCCTACCTCGTCGTTGAAGCAGGGCGCTGCCAAAGTGACTTGATCAGAAGTCAATGTGTCTTTGAAGGTCTGAACCGCAGCCTCCCTATCCTCTTTTCTATCCTATCCCGTTGCAAGTGGGACCATGCTCCTGCTGGAAACCGGGTCCAACGTTCCCATACACCCTCACCCACCGATGTTTTATTTGTCATTTCAAATCATTTTAAAATCAGAAGACCATTCATTCATGCAAAAAAAAATCCCTTTGTCTTTTCCAAAAAACCATAAAATTGCGTCACACGTCGTAGAATACTTCGCTAGTAGGTCCAGGCCCCAGGGCTCTCGTCCATCCACGAACAACAGATTGAAAAAAAAAAAAAAAAAAAAAACCCATCCCTTATGCTAGGATTGCGGTCCGATACAAGATGCTACAGTACTTGTCTGGAACTAAATGAATCGAGGCAGTTACCTACCTCACGTGGAATCCGCCCTGCCTGGCTGGCAGAGTGCTACTAAGACCTCACAACAAAAGCAAAGAAAGAAAACAACATCCGTCACGATCCTCACATACTGGCCAGATACATTTCTCAAAGCACTGGTGTAACTTCCACCTATGTGAGGGTCTTCCCCACGTCGGTGGATTCATTGAGATTCCTTTTTTTTCTCTCTTTTTTTCTTTCCTTTTTTGGCCTTTATCCCTGCACTGTTGAAATACAAACCCAGGCTGTGAATTGTGTAGGACGGCCCCGCCACGGCCCCCATGTGACGTCTGGGTCGTGGCCAATGTGGGGTGTGGCCGAGATACGTCGGTCGTGGCCAATGTGGGGTGTGGTCGAGACATCTCGGTCGTAGCCAATGTCGGGTGTGGCCGGTCGTGGCCAGTATGGGGTGTGGCCGAGACATCTCGTTCGTGGCCCAACCATAAGGCTTTTTTTTATTCCCCAGCCGCGGCACGGCGCCCGACCGGGAAAAAAAAAACAAAAAAAAACGGCCATGTGTCTGACTGAACTGCTCCAAAAGGTCAGCCCGAGTTCCAACTGCAATTGAAACTCCGACCCCCACTAAACTGCGAAAACGCAGTTTGAAATGCAATTATAAATTGTAACCCTGACTGCGCCGTAGTTATTATTTCATTATTGACCCGCCTACCACACTGTGCGACGTTAGGGTTCGGACACACATGCACATCCTGACGTGCCAGCAACCTTACGTCGGATACACTTCAAAAGAAAGCAGTCCCCAAAAGCAGACAAGGACCCAGTCCACCTAAGCGGTTATCTCATCGGGCAATTGGGTATTTCAAAATCTGTATGTGGGTTCAAACCCCAACCCGACCATTGTGAGCAAACTTTAAATACTTGCTAACATGTATATGTATGTGCGTGCGTGTGTGCCTGCGTGGGTGAGCGGGCGGGCGATGTGTGTGTGTGTGTGTGTGTGAGTGCGTGTGTGGGCGGGCGGACCCTACAACTTTTTTCTTTTCCGTTTTCCCGCCCGAGGCCTTCTTGTCACCGCCGAAAACAGACAAAGAGGACAACGGAAAAATGAAAGAGAAACTAAAAAAGGAAAGAAAAGAAGGGGAAAAAAAAGAAAACCGGCCGAGAACAGAAAAGAAAAAAAGATCGATACGCTCTTGTCACCGACCGCCAAAAACGGCCAAAGAAGACAACGTGAAAATAAAGAGAAAMAAAAAAAAAAAAAAAAAAAGGAAAAAAAAAAAAAATCGGCCGAGAAMAAAAAARAAMAAAAAAAAAAARRAACGTGCCACAAAACGACACTATCTTGCTATCCAACGGCGGGCGCTTCAAGATATTCCCTCGCATCGACGCCCGCCACCGCAAGGCCCCATGGGCGCGCTGTCTCGTTTTGTGGCGCGTTGTGAACAATTCGGTGCACGCACCGCTCTGCATGCCCCCCCTACCTCGATCGCCTTCATCCGCCGGCCCGCATCAAAAACTTCAACCCGATTCCAGTGCGCAGCGAAACAACGCCCTCCCCCCGCGACCAATGCTCCTCTAGGGTTATGAAAAAAGGAAAAAAAAAAACAACACAGTTAACACCCACCTATGTGCCTTACCGCCCCTCCTACCCCCCACCCCCATTAACCAATGCATCCCCATAGGAGCACCACTTTTCAATAGGATTAAAAAAAAAAAAAAAACGTTCACCATGTATCGCGTTTACACATCGTCATTTGCTAGACACCCGAACCACTTATGTGTCGTACCGCCCCTAAAAGTTAGAACCCCCCTAGGGCCCCTACCCACATTAAGCAATGCATCCCTCGAAACCTCCATATCTTTTCAATAAGAAAAAAAAAAAAAAATCAGTTAACACCCACCTATGTGCCTTACCGCCCTCACTACCCGCCCCCCACCCCCACTTACCAAAACAACCCCAAAAGAACACCACCCTCCAAAAGGGAAAAAAAAAAAAAAAAAAAAAAAAAAACAGTTCACCATGTAACCCATTTACACGTCATCATTTGCTAGACACCCAAACCACCTATACGCCGTACCGCCCCTAAAACCCCCCTAGGACCCCTACCCACATTAACAAATGCATCCCCGAAAACCTCCATATCTTTTCAATAAGAAAAAAAAAAAAAAAAAATCAGTTAACACCCACCTATGTGCCTTACCGCCCCTACTACCCCTCACCCCCATTAGCCAATGCATTCCCATAGGAACACCTATTTTCTTTAGGGGGAAAAAAAAAAAACAGTTCACCATTCATCGCGTTTCCATACCATTCATTCCTAGACACCGAAACGACAAAACTGCCTATGTGCTACCGCTCCTAGTACCCCCCTCCCCCCCCAAAAAAAACAAATCATCCGCTGATATCGTTTGAACAACGAGGCAAAAAAAAAGAAAAAAAGGGATACCCCTACCCCGACCCGCTCACCCCATTCCATCTTCCCTCATTTTCCACAACATATATGAGTCTTTTTGACGACATTGAGGACAGTTCAACATACTTGCACAATTGAACTCACCTCAATTTATGTCAATGCGGCAAGCTCTTGGATTGCAAACAAAGTGTGGATTGCGAACAAAGTGAACTGCCTTGTGACCCTCACCTTCTTTTGTAATGTTGTGGGTTGCCACACCATGAGGAGACACCACCAAATAACTTATGGGACACCGTCAGTGCCTCACATCTGTGCTACAACAGAAAACAGAAACACATATTCCCACATTCTCCAAAACACGATACAGAAACACATCTACGGCCTACGACGTGGCAAGTTGGCAACAGCGGCACGACGTCTACAACACAAAAAAAAAAGAAAAAAAACAGAATAGAGAAAGAAGGAAAAAAAATATATATATATTACAGCGTGCCGCGGCGCATCAGTGTCATGCTCCCTGCACCGCACACCACCGCAGCAAGGGGGGCCACGATGCAGCACTCCCGCCCTCCAACGATGCGGCACAACACTCCCACGACGCGGCGCAACACCGCCTCAACGAGGCACAACAGTCCTGACATCCATACTGCACTCCAACGACGCAGCACTCCCACGGCTCAGCACCCCCACGACGCAACGCAACACTCCCACACACACTGTCGTAGGGCCCGTAGCAGGGCGGCCGGGCTTGCAGGGGTCACTCCTGCACGCAACGGGGTCTGGGTCGCTGCTGCCTGGTAAGGCCATCGGGGGTGCGTTTAAGGGTCTGTCGGGGTGGGGCTGTGCAGCGCGGGGTCACGGGCTGTGGGGATCGGGGCTGCGGCCCGCGAGCAACAGGGCGGGGTTGCGGGCTTCCGCGGTTCCAGTCGCGGGGGTGAGGTGGTCAAGTGCGCGGGGTTGCAGGGAGCGGGTCGTGGGGGTGCGGGGTGAGGTAGTCAGGCTCACGGGGTTGAGGGGCGTGAGGCGTGGGATTGCAGGGTGCTGTGATCGGGGGTGCAATGGTCGGAAAGCGGTGGCGGTGGTGCGGGGATCATCGTGAGGGGTCGGGGCTCTGGCGGGGTTGCGGGGCGGCGGCGGTGACGGGGGTGCGGCACCTCGGGTCGGGGTGCGGGGTAGCAGGTCGGGTGAGGTGGTCATATGCGGGGCTGCTAGCAGGGGTGGAGGGCGGGGTTGGCGGGGTTGGCGGGGTGCGGGGTTGCCAGGCCGGGGTGGCGTGCAGGGAGCGGAGCCGATCTCGCGGGGTCAACGACCAGGGTTACGGAGCGGTGTTGGGGCCCGCGGTGGTAGTCGGCGTGGTTTGCCGGGGTCGGGCGGTGGCAGGGGTCTACTGCCGACGGCGGTGGTCGAGGACCCCCGCTGTGGCGGTTTGAGGGTCAAAACACCGCCCCGACTTTGGCCCGGGGATCCCCGCGTGACATCCCTGGTTAAAGGCAATGGAGGCATCAAGGCATCCCATTGCTTTTGCAAGTCGGAGCTTTGCAGTGTTCCATTCTGAATTTGTGAGTCACTCAACCTTTTGCATTTAGGTAAGTGCAAATCACCTCAACGGTCATGGACTCTGGCTCATGCCGGTTTTATATATATTTTTTCTCCATTACGACACCATTATAATTGGGGGGGGGGGGAGGAGGTTCATACTTAAAATGTGGTGACGAAGGCCCGTCGAAGGGACTGTTTTTTTTATCTTTTTTTTTTTTCTTCAAAATGGGTGCACCGCCATGAGCGGCAATACAATGGGGGTTAGGAGGAAAGGGGTGTGGTGGATTGGGTGAGGAAGGGGGTTGCTTGTTGAAAATTGAAATGC